GCTAGTGGTTAGGATGGAGAGAGGTAGGCGCCACCTTGCGGAACCTTGAAGGGAATCTTTCCACCACTCCCTACAAACCACCGATCAGTAGATCGTTGTGTCATGAAAGCACTTTTTCCACAAAATGGCACTCCAATCCGCCCTAATAATAAAGATTCTCGATTATATGATGGTGATAGGTTGGGAGTATCAATAGTTACGGGGCGGGGTGGGTTACTATTAACGGGGCAGATTACATCCCTAATGCAACCCGTATGTGATCCTCGTTTCCAGCCCATGCCCGTTTCCATTTGAGTTAACTAGGGCTGCTTCAAGTAGAATAAAGGAAATTCGAATGGAAGAAGACATGGAAGATTGGGTTTGTCGGGCTTTATAGGGATTGTACCGTAAGGGCCGAAAATTAGCAGACTAGGGGCTACGTTGTGGTTACACAAGGGTCATAAGGCATGCAGTGGTTAAGCGGGGGAAAGATGCTCCTTCTTGGGTTTAGGGTTTGGGGTTTATTAAGGTTTAGGGTTTAGGGTATAAGGTTTAGGGTTTAGGGTTCAAGGTTTAGGGAATTGTTGAACTTATCTATGGGCAGCTGGAAGAGCTGCCCGTCGCAGTTTCAGATACTAATGTAGACCCCTGATTGATAAACCCCCTCCTTTTAAGGCCCTTAATATCGGGATCCCTATTATAATCCTATTAAGGGGAGCGGGTTTAGTAATCATGGGTCTGGGTTAGGTGCGGTACTTACTTGAATCCATACGCCCTTCCTAAAACATAACCCTAGACCCTAAACCCTAAGCGTAGATCTGTAATTGGCACATGTGTTAAGGATACGAGTGACTCCGCTGTCGGATCGAGCCCTCCAAAACTACATTAGCCCAGGCTGGCATATAGGTACCCATTGGGTTTAGGGTTTAGGTACCCATTGGGCTAAGGGTTATGTAATCTAGGGATAGTGCCTCTTAGGTAGATAGAATATGGCTTTGGGCATATTCTAAGAAGATCCTCATATACCCCACATTCTATCTACATAAGGGGGACTATAAGATTAGGGTTATATAAATATAGGGATACTGGAATAGAAAATGGAAACTACTATTTAGGGTTTCGGGTCTATAGGAACCCAGGATGCTCCGTCACGGCATCTGATTTTCACCTTCCTGTGCTGGCTTGCGAGCTGCGAGCAAAGGCCTTGGGGCATTTCTCACAGCAGGCCCCCCGAAATCCTCTACTCATATATGCTGCACATCTTGTACTTCAATAGTTGAGGCACTATTACTTGTCACTCTGAATATGTTCATGCCAAGCCTATGTTGGGTTCAGGCACACATTAACAGAAAGACGTTCAACAGCAACCAAGCATGGAAATCCCCGAAGATCTCTCCCCAAACACTAAGCTACGCTTCAGGTGCCTCCAGCGTCGAGCGAACATCTGCCTCTGGCCCAACCAGAGCTGGTGCCAGCATCGCCTATATTTTATCTTTTCAGGGTTCTGGGGTTTAGGGGTCACGGTTACTGAACTTGAATGGTGGTCTCCCGCCATTAAGGGTCCTTGAATTTTGGGGTTCCCAATACGGATTACTGTACTTAGGAGACACTATGAAGACCCCTCTCTTTCTAGAAGCTACCAAATTGAGCTACCAAAATATGTGTGTATAGTCTAGTCAAGAGCAAGGTTTCCTTGTACTGCTCACTTACTTCCTGGGTTTAAAGCAACCCAGCCTAATGGGTTCCCCAAGAAATGTGGGTACGCTTACGAATGGTGTAGCCAGCGGGGCTCCTATGCAGGATTCAGGCTCCATGGTCCCCCAGTGCCCCTTTCTGGCCAAATGATGCTGGAAAAAAACGGGTCTCCTTGCTTCGGGACATTTCCCCCCTTCCTGTGGCATGTTGAAGAAATTTCCTACTTTGCCTGAAAGAGCAGTCCACCAACACAGCAGCCAACCGCCTGCAAATGCGTTGCTCTACACCAGGATTCAGCGCTTCTTGGAAAGCATTCTTGATCCTCCAAAACTCCCTATGTGATCCCCAGTTATCTAGCCCCATAGTAGCACCTACATTCCTTTTGAGGTTACGAAGCCCCTCTTGTCTGTGTCAGCAGCCTTCGCTGCCTGGGAACAGCCTTGGCCACCAAAACGGAAACCTGCAATGCGACATGAGCTGTAATCTAAACTCCTCAAAGTTGGTTATACAGGGAATCAAAAGGGCTATTACGGGGGATACTCGGAGTTTAGACTATGGCTCACGTTACCACACTGGAGGTATTGATCTTACGGTCGCTTAGGGAATTGGGGATTCTGTGGGTCAACAAGGAAAATGTAAGGGAATTGAGGCTCTAGGGTTCATTCTATAAGCGCCATTTTGCAAAATAATGGGACCCCAATATAGACACCAAAATACTATAAGTCTAATTATAGGGACCCCCAATAAGGTGCCCCTAATTTTGGGAACAGGAGTTTCGATCAACTACCACGTCCTTAAAGGATGGGTGTGTTCTAGGAGGGCCATTATATACAGTCTACGGGACTGTACAAGGGAACCTCAGGGAGGGCTAGGGATTTGGTAACTTTGTGACATGTGTTTTTGGGGTGTCCTAAACCCCTAAACCCTAAAACCTAAACCCCTAAACCCTAAAACCTAAACCCCTAAACCCTAAACCCTAAAGTTGCATTCCTGATGAAGCCTTAGCAGAACAAGAAGAAGTCGAAGACATCAACGTCTCAGCTCTGGTGGCTGAATCAAATACTGTAGTTTCCTCAGAGCTATAGTTAAAAAATATCTATAATGATTCCTTAAGGTCATACTACACTGAAATCCAAAAAATCCTAAGGACAGTACAATGTAAGTAAGGCCATGTACTATGGTAAAACACGATAGCCAGGAAGCAACATACTCTTGCCCTTGATTGGGGGTTTTACATAGCATCTCCGTTCAACGGTGGGATCTACAGTTGTGGTCCTCTGCTTCTTTCGCGATGAATGATCACATGGGCCCCTAGTATGGGCCCTTAACCCTGGGATCCTTATATACCTACTATATACCCTCTATGTACCTTTAAGGGTCCCCAGAATCCCCCTAAAAGGCCTAAGGGCCCATATGAGGGGCCCATACTTCTAACCTTAGACTTCTGGTGTAGGCAGATCATAGGGATCATGCGTGGGGAATCTTCACATCGCGGCACACTTCTTTTCGGCCGATCTAGTTCTTACATGCCTCGTAGATTTTTTTAAAGAATCCCTAAATGCGCCCCCCTACATGACTTTTTAAGACGTCCCTTTGGCTGAATGAGGTCAGCAAGTTGGTCTTCCAACTTGTGGTTTAGGGCTTATGTGTGTGCATGTGTTTTGTGCGCGCTTTTGACCCTCCAGTAGCAGTCAGGCAAAGCTCATCCAGAGCGGGCTAAGGTTTAGGATTTGGGGGGCCCTCATATATATATATCATATGAAGGCTCCTGAAGATTAGGCTCCCAGAAATTTTGAATACTGCAAGCAGAGCGGAAAAGCTTAAATATTGCAGAGGAAAGGCTTCAACATCATAATTTTGCCATTGTCGTCATGGTTTCCGTGCAAAAGACAAGGTAAGTGCTACATTGTATAAATGCCGTATTGCGCTAGACCACCTTTATATGCTACTTTATGACACCTTAGCAATCACTACACAGCATGCGACACGATACTATGCAATGTTATACAGTACCGCGTGTTATTCTCTGCTATAGGGGCTACAGACAACATCTCCCCAAAAAATTAGTGGATGGGTTCCTTAGGAGGACGATACTGTGGACTATACTAAGCTGCAAGAGGGACACCTATGCTCACTGTCAAGGGCTCCTTAATACGGCTAGTATTGACAGTACCTCATTTACTCCCTATAAACCACTACATAATCCCAGTCTCCATTTCATTTCCATTTTTTCCAATTGATTCTCCATTCTTGGGAAGATCCCTTCACAAGCCCCCTCTACCCTAAACCCCCAAAAACATGCTCCAACATAACTCCCATAACCGGCCTGCCGTATGTCCACGGCTAGGGCCGCTAGACGCTCCTGGCACACAGGGCTTTTCCCCGAATGAAGGGTATAGGGTTTAGGGTTTGGGGGTTTAGGGTTTGGGGGTTTCGGGTTTGGGGTTGAGGGTTTAGGTTTTAATAATATAGACAATTGGGGTCTATATTGGGGTCCGCCTACTTATGGAAACTGGCACATGAACTCTCAAAGGAAGAGCCACTATGCAGGGCATATGCTCTAACCTAAACCCTACACTGCCCCCGCTCCCCTCAGGCCACCCTAAACCCTAAACCCACTACTTCATCAGGCTTTTCAGAGCTGCAGAAAGCACAGTTTAGGGCGTAGGTTTAGGATACAGGGTTTAGGGCATAGTAAACCCGAAGCCCTCAAATCCTAAGCACACTCATTGCAAGAATGGAGCCGACAATGGCACTACTTGGAGGGTCAGGGGGGCTTAGTAAGTAGGTTCATAACAGGGATAGCTGGAATGAAGATATGGGTTACAGGGTCTAAATATACTTTCTAAGTCCTCCTGAACCTCCAAGTAGTAAGTCGCATGAAGACATCCAAGGCGAAACAACCTGCAGTCGCAAACAACAATGAACCCACAAAAGCAACAGTGACTGAGCCCCCGAAAGTAGCTAAGATGATGTTTAAGGCCAGTAGTTTACCTACCTTGGAGGTTAGCTACTGCTCCTCAGAAACTTTTTCAAGCAGGTGGTCTTGCTGACTGCTACAGCACAGCCGCCGAACCTTGGCCTAAATTGGCCAAGTTCCTCCGACATCCTCTAAGCAAGTCTAAACAGTCTAGGCATCACTGCTCCCCTGTCGGCACAGAACATACATCCAGCTGTCAACCGAGTAGCGCCGAAAATTATGAACTTGTCAAAAGCAATAAGGTCCCAGGCCTTCCCTCAAAGGATCTTCAGTATATGAAACCCCAGCGAGGAGGATGAGTAAGCCAACGTGGGGAACTGTGGTTCGGGTGAGTGAATTGAGTGCATCACTGCACGTGGCACCTCAAATTGAATCGTCGGAGTGGCTCGCGAACCGTAGGCTGTGCTTTTGGCTTGATTTCCTTTGCAAGGACATCAAAAATTGCATAATCCATGGCTTCGTGAACACCGGTACCCTCTTTGGCAGATGTTTCGAAATAAACGAGCCCGTACTCTCTGGCGTATTTCTCCGCTTCTTCCTTGGAAATCTTGCGCTCCTCTACGAGGTCCGCCTTGTTTCCTATCAACAACTTCGTTCTGATGGCCTCAGTCTCATGGAAGTTCAGCCAGTCGGTGATGTCACGAAATGAGTGCGGATTCGTTAGGTCGATGACCATAAGAAGCGCCTCCTTCCTTAGATCACATTCGAGCAATACGAGAGAAAGGTCTTTTCCCATCTGTACCGGGCTAATGCGTATAAACATGTAACTTGCATTCAACAACACCCAGCGTCCGTCTAAAGTAAAAGGAGGTGTTGACTCGAAAGCGCTCCTTGCCAGCTGGCTGATCCCAGAGCATGACTTTCACAGGGACGTCGTGGGCCATGACCCGGACAACTTGAAAATCCATCCCTATAGTGTTGGGCATCATGCGTTCCTGGGTCTGTCGGGGGATCGTTTTCAGCACCACCGCGCCCATTACAAGCAGCAAGAAAACAATTAAAAGCCGGGTAACAGCAACAGTACTGCACCACTAAACATGGTAACTAGCAGACTTTTATGAAAGTGGCGAGTACTATTTTGGGGGTCCGAGTAATAAGGATTACAGCATTTGGGGGTCTAGGGTTTAGGGAAACCCTAAACCCTAAACCCCTGGCCCAGGAGCATTGAAGGTGTCATGTGCGTATCTATAGAGCAGACTCGTCTTGCCGGCTCTCAACTCGCCGAACAACCCCAGATGCATCGCGCGGAACGAGTCGGGCAAGGCAGCCACTCCTGGGTTCTTGTAGTCCCCCCACCTATAGCCCCCCTTGGGTATATAGAATTTGGGGTATATGGGGATTTTATTTTCTTATACCAAAGCCATATTCTATCTACTTAAGGGGGACTATAGTATTGAAACACGCGCCCCTGCCCCGATATTATAGACTTCCAGTGTCGTATACCAGAAATGTCCAAGGAACACTTAACATTACGGGTGAAGAGTTTTGATCTAAGGGGAGGTGAGCATTGAAGACTTCCACAGTGGTGCTGAACCGGGATACAAGCATCACTATGGGGACTGCATGTAAGGTTGCTTAGACATCATGAAAAACGCTCACGATTTGACCCTAAGGGGTGCAGACTATTCATGTTGTAGCACCCCCAGGGCAGACGCCAGATGGATCAAATGCAACTTCATGCCATCCTCAACTATAAGGGGGTTTCCCAAAATTAGGGGTACCTTTTTGGGGGTCCCCATAATGAGGAATATAATATATTGGGGTCTATATTGGGGTCCCCCTATTTTGGGAAACTGCTATAAAAAGTCGACAATCTTCAGAAACCATGAGTGCAAAAATTGCCAAAATGGGGCCAAAACAGAAGCCCAAACTCTAGGCCCCAACCCCAACCAAACCTCTCCAAACACGAGCCCAAACCTCACACCAAAGCCCAAGCTGCCCTAAACCTCCAACACAGTATCTGAACCCAACAGTAAGCCACTCAAACAGACCCTAATTAGGCCTAAACCATCCAAAAAAGCAAGACCCAATTCTTCGCAGCCTTGACAGAAGGCCGAAGGCCAAACTCCAAATCCATGCAAACTCTCCAAACAGAAGCCCAAGCCCTAAACCCCAACCCCTGAGAAACCCTTACTGGTGCTTAGTGAGGAATAACCAAAAATATAGGGCTCAGGGTTTTGGGGAGAGAGTAAGGGAATGGGACTATAGAGGGATACTCCAAAGCAGAAGCCTGGTCTCGCTCCGTTCTTAGCGACTTCGTTATCTGCTGAAGTTCCAGGAGTGCTGGCGCTTTCAGGCCGAGCTGGCCCAGAAGTTCATTCCTTAGTCGGTCTTTGTAGGGTTTAGGGTTTAGGGGTTAGGGTCTAGGGGTTAGGGGCTTAAGGTTGTATAGGGGTTTGCCAGGGTGGTACGGTTTTGGGGGGGGATTTATAGGGAACGAAGAAAGATGAACATGTAAACTACTATATCATTTGGGGTTGGGGGCTTATGGGTTCAGGGTTCATGGGCGTAGGTCCCAGCTTGTAGGAACGGAGAATAGCATGGACAGTACAATGGAAAGTGAAGTGGAAACTGGGGTTATATATGGGTTGTATAGGGACTTGCATTAGAATCAGTAATACTACATGGGCCTAAATAATTACCTATATCATCTTGAGGTCCGCTTGAGGTACCATAGACCATAATTATATAAGGCATATGGAAGCGTAATATTTGTACTTATTTAGGCCCTCTATTAAATTCATATTGGCAACCACTACTCCAACTAGAGAATGATTTCAGGTTCGGTGTTTCTGGGCGTTCGGTTTGAACCTCTGATAACCATCGGGTGGAGTTCTCAAAATGGGGGGTGCGGCCCCTAAACCCTAAACCCCTAAAACCCTAAACCCTAGGACCCTGGGGACACATGACGCTTAGGAGACAGCGGGGCCCCAATTAAAGATTAAACTTGGAGGGTCGGGGGGACTTAGTAAGTAGGTTTATAATGGTGATAACTTGGGTTATCATGTGGCTTATAGGGGTTATACGTGCACTTACCGCGTCCACCTGACCCCCCAAGTAGGGATTATTTGATGGACTCTCAAAGCTTGAATACGGGCACTCCTTGGCCGAAGGCACGCCTTGAAAGCCACTTTACACTGGTTTAGGGGTTTAGGGGCTTAGCGGCACATGAGATGATGTTGACCAGCTGCATGTATACACGCTCCTTGGGATAACACTAGGGGTAATCTGATGAAGCAAAACATTTTGCAAAGTCTGCAATCTAGCAAATCCAAAAACAAACTAGGCCCTACATATGCCGTAGGAGTCACGCTTTAACCTGTGTTATTTCAGATGGACACAGGCACACCAAACACGAACAGGATACAAACCCCAGACCCTGAATCCAAAAACCTTAATGCCTAATCCCTATAATGCCTTCCATTTGCTTTCCATTCCTTTCTATGGTTCCTACTATATACCCCTATATACCTCAAATCCAGGACCCAGTCTCTCTGCAAGAGGTCGCCCATCAAAGACCAGGACCCTCTTCAACGACGGATTGGGCTCTCCATGCCTGTCTGAAGGTCAAACAAACACGCGTTTTGGGGTTTAGGGTCAAGGGCTCATGGAACCCACAAATGCCCCTAAACCCTCAACTCTAAACCCTCAAACCCTAAGCTGGCAAAGGTGAGCACCCTCAACCGAATCCGTATCAGGGCTTGTACCAATAGAGACAGAAAACATGGCTAAAGCCCACTCTGTGCTCAAGCGAAACTTACAGAAAAAGCAATTCATGAGTGTCATGAGTGAGGACAGATTTTGGCAACATCCATTCCCAAAATGAGGACCTGCAACCGACAAATTTCATGCCCATCATGCCGCCGCTTCAAGGTGTTTTTTTTAGGGGTGGGGGTTGGCCAAGACCCCTTTACTAAACGTGCAGTAAGCTCAGGCCCCTATACCTGAATCTCCAAACCCTAAGCCCCTCCTCCATCCTAACGACATGGGTTCCCCTACTTCGCCCCTCGGTCGAGCCACATCCCAAATCCTCCATCTGAAGCTTTGAGCCCCGCATTGGAGGTAAGCCGTGATGAGCCAGAAACAGAAAGGGATAGACCCTCATAAGCCCTATAGTCCCCCTCAAGTGGATAGAATATGGGGTGTATGGGGATCTTATTATAATACACCCCAAAGCCATATTCTATCTACTTAAGGGGGACTATATTCACTCTGGGCTGGGATCAGGGCTTGGCTCCTGATCTCATTGGTCCTATTCACGTGCCTCAAGTGGATGTGTTAGAGCTCTATAGGATATAGGACCCCAATGTTAGCTGCAACGCATGGCGTAAAAGTCCGAACGCCATGCTTAGGTCTGTTTGAAGCGCCTATACCATAGTGAGTACATGAGGCATGAAGGACCATAGTATGGGAAATGATCTTTAAAGTTTCCATCTCACTTTCCGTTTCTTTTCAATCTACCCTGCACCCTATTAAACCCTGAATCCATAACCAGTTAGGCTTCTTAGACGAACCCCTTCAAGTCCAGGTACTTCACAGCAATCAGGATGTCTTCAACTCCTCAGTTGCTGTCAGGGAACTTCAGCTCATGGCTTAGGGTATGGGGCCTCCTTTACAGGGGGCTATAGGGGTGATACTATTGACGCCCTAAACCCTGCATGACCTCATCATACTAAAGCACCAAAGTTCTCAAACAGAAGTCTTTTTAGGGTCATGCAGGATTGTTGGTTTCCACCGTATTTGCGGTTCTTCAGGGTTTAGGGTAAAGTTACAAGAAGATGGAGATAGAGCAAATCAGCTTAAGCTAATAGCAGCCCAGACTCTGGCTGTTTCCGGCAGCTCAACTTCACCAATGAGCTCCCCCGACCTAAGAGGATTCCAATTCGAAGGGCTAGGTGGGGCCATAGGGAACCCACTCTCTTTCCACAGTTCAGGTCTTCTTGGTGGAGAAACCACCGCAATGTTCAGCGTTTTTTCAGTTCCGGCCGTTGGCTCGTTCCCGCACTTTAATGTTAAAAAATGTCGATGCTGTGGACTTACCTGGTTGTTGGGAGTTTTCTGCATTACTTCAACCTTTCGACGTGTCCGAAACTAAATCCCCATCTCCTTCCATGCGCTTCTGCTTCGGCCCTGGGTCTAAACAAGACGTTCGGTGCAGATACTACTACGAAACATATTTCTAAACAAACTAGAAGTGTTACCAGCAATCTTACTAAAAATGTTACTAGTCACCTTACAGACAATCTTTCTAACAATGTTGTAGCACAACATAGAATACTATGAGAGAGAAATACGAATAATCATAACAATAACAGTAATACGCACTAGACATAGTATGGGGGGTTCCCTAATTTAGGGGTTGATTTTCTTGGGGTCTGCATGAAAATCCATAGTATCTGGGGTCTACGTCGGGCCCCCTATCATCGGGCCCCCTATTTATGGAAACTACCATATACATCGGCAGTAGCCCCAAATGTGCAAAGTTTTGTTGAACCAGGATCTGGTGGCAGCTGTTGCACCCGAATGCTGTATTTCCGTGCCATGGCAAAGGACGCTTCACCCTGCTTCTGGGCCTCGCCAGAAGGATGAAAATAAATCTGGGCGTCCTGTCCTAATTAGTACTCGAGATGAGCAACTTGCGGTCAGACAGAGGGAAGTTATATAGGGCATTGTATTGGGATAATGGAAAAGAAAATTGAAACTACTATACTATACGATATGGATTATGTAGGGGTGATATGAGGATAATGGAAAAGAAAATGGAAACTACTATTCAGGGTATAGGGTTCATAGGTGTAGGGCTTAGGATGTCGCACAGCAGTTGCATGTCTCTCAGCATCCGCTGAAACATGAGATTGACCTTGCGGTCCCTTGCTGTCTTTCTGCGCGGTGCCTGGGTGCAAGGGGCAACTGTTCCAGCTAGAGATGTTAGGAGGACCCCCCACCCTGTAATAGTGGTATAATAGGAATATAAGGGGACCCTTATTTAATCCTTATCATCCATAATAATCACTATTACTGGGTGGGGGGTCCACCTAATAAATAGAGATGTGTCAAAGGAACGCACTGTAACGAGTCTATAGTGACGACAGAAGCGCTCCAAAACACAGCCGCAAAGAACAAGCGGTGTCAATAATGGGGAATCAAATGGAAAAGAAGATGGAAAATGATGTGGAAACTTGGGTTTAGGGGTTCTGGTTTCAGGGTTTAGGGAGGGACAGATGCAAGTAGACGTATACATATGTTCACGTTCTTTGAGCCCTTGTTTTACTCTACCTCAAACCCAGAAGCCAAGTTCTATATAGGAGTTTCCGCTCGCAAAGCGACCCTAATATTCTATCATCCTTATCGGGGACTCTCAAAAAGCGGCATCTCATTCTTGGAATTCCGAATCTAACCATTGCTCAGGGCCCAACCTGTGGGTACAGCTCCACCCGCTGCATCTTTTCTGCCTTGCGCGGGGGTTCCTTCAACTTCCGGTGGAGAAGGGAACACAGGGCTGCTGATGATGATGCAGATGATGATGATAGAGGTGCTGTTGGCATAGCGCAAGCAGCAGCTTTGGTCTGAGCAGTCCAAGCGGGTAGCGGCAATACTACTTCGCAGAACGTGGTGATGGTTGAGGTTCAGGTATCTCATGCCAAACACGCCAGGACATACCAGGACAAAACACGATACCTGGCCTTTGGACCCGAACTGCTCCTTGGCACCTGGCACCAGCCACATGCTTGAAAATACAAGCCTACACTTCAATCCCAAACCCTAAACCCTAAACCCTAAACAATATAATCACTCTATTATACCCCTATATAACAAAATACACCCCTCCGACAAGATGCTTCTGAGAAGCCTCCTCCAAAATTTCATGCTCAACAGTACATTGCCCGTGTAGGACACATGTCGGATGCAGACTAACCTAAGCAGCTGCCAGCTACGTAGTCAGGTTCCCAAGTATCCTTGTGAGTTGCACCCTGGACTTGCCAGCAGGTTCACCGTGCTTACAATACTTTAAGATGCCTTCCGCCATGCCGTTCCTGCAATGTGAAATTCGCGGCAGGCAATTGCTAAGCTTTGCTGTGTTGGTTCCTCGCGGTCTTTTCAGCAGTAGAGATCTTCTCGCAGCGCAGGTCGGCTGAACGAAGCTCATAGATGTTGACGCGATGTGCAAAGCTGGATTCGCTGGCCTAGGCCCGTGGCAAACTTGTGTGTCTGAGAAAAGGACATGCAGAATCCTGCGCCAAGCCCAACCAGGACGCAACACAAGCGACAGAAAATAGCGACGAATTTGCAGAAATGCACTTAGCATCTGGCGGGTGGTATGGCCGTGTAGCGCAGCTGCAGTGAAATTGATTCATCCTTGCAGAAGTTCCTGGGGTGGCATGTGCGGGCATGTATCTGACGGCTGATGCCGCCGCTTCAGCTATTTGTACTTTGCTTAGTCCTGCCCTGGCTATGTGTGTCATTTCGCTGGTTGAGCTTCCTCTTTTTCGGCTGTTAGTGTTGCGCACGGACCTTGCACATGCAAAGTGCTTCTCAAGTTTGGAGGGCTCCAAACACATGGGGCATATAGCGAGTACATAGTGTTACGGGATATTACTGGAAATTACCCCGAAAAATAGAGAATCAACTGGAACGGTAAATGAAGTGGACACCGAGGTCTAACAGTTAGATCGTGGTTTATGGGGTTTAGCCCCGTAGAAGGACCCATTTTCTTCTTCTCCGCAGACTTCGTCGTCAGCTTCTAAAGGTGTCCCTCCCGCTGAAAACCCTACACCCCAAATTTGCCATCTTCCTGCATCCCTCAAGCAGTCCCCCAGTCATGACAGACATGCTCCCCATGATTTTGTCACAATCCTACCTGGTAGTAAATATTCCCATTTTGGTGTGTCATAACATGTTGGAAATGTTTAATGATAGGGCGGGATGGGGGTGTTGCAGAATAGTGCAATGGCTTGAAGGGGTGGGGGATTACGCTGCAGCATCTGAGCCATATTCTAAACTTCTAGTATCCCATTAATAAACCCATAGAGTCGTCCCCTATATAATCCTTTTTCTAAACCGCCCTTATTAAGGACGTTAGACCGTAACCCCTATATAACTTTAGATAACCCCCTTTAAGGAGTTAGATGACGGCTCATCTTGCAATATCTTGCAGCCGGGTGTCTCAAAGGTTTCCTCTCCCAAGTCTGGCCGTTGAACAACTGCCTGGGCTTCCCAAAATTCAAGGTACGTCTAAAAGATGTTGTTGGGGTGGATAGGGTTTGGGGTTTCCAAAACAATAGAAACTGCCCTGGCTGAAAGGATGACTTCAGTGGCTTTAGGTGAGGTCTCTCCCCCAATAACGGAGAATTCGAAAGGAACATGTAATAGAACATGAAATGGAAACTGGGGTGCACACCAATCCCCTCTCCCTTATATGAACTTATATGAAACCCCGCCATCCCCCGCACCCCCTGAATATTAAATACTCCCAATATATGAGTGTGTTGTACTTTTGTATTGGGAATATTTAATATGGGGGGTGGGGGCGTTTAATATTAGGGGGAGGGGATTACCGTCCAAGGCCGATACTAGGCCCATGGTAGATCGGAAGAGCTCCATAAACTTGAGAACAACACATGAGCCATAGTCGAAACTCCTACTGTAGCATCCCCGTAAGAACCCCAAAACTAGTCCCCTACAATCCTTCATATAAACCCCCTTAACTGTAGTCTCCTTCTTCGACCTTTAATTTAAAAAAATATTGCTAATGATTCCATACGATTTTACTTTAATACAAACTAGAAAAATTCGCGAGGACGCTACATTTGAATTCAAGGAGTTTAGACGATAGCTCACATAACAAGATGCAGCAGAGAGCCGCAAAGCCTGGCTGACTTGATGGCGGGGCTTAATTTCGGATACCTTTGACGCGGGGTTCTCTGAAGACTGAGGGTCTCCCTAAAGCCCTAGGCTCCATTTACCCAATAATGTGGTACTTGGATTTTGGTATCAATAAATTCTAGTACAGGTTTTGGGTAAGAATATGATTATTGGGTACCCGGACCCTTCCCAAATCTTGGACATCGGAGGGGGCCCTAAACCCTAACCCAGACCCCTAAAAATGAGATCCCCTGTATAGACCCATTATAACCCCTATATAATCCTTATATAATTTCCCATATGGTTCTAGGGGAATTAATTCTTAGATCCCTTTGGGGATCTGGGAAAGCCCTAAACCCCAAACCCTAAAACTTCGAGGATTCCACGGCTGCACGTACCAAACCGCGCGCAGGCATTGCATGGGTTCAACTAGTACCCCTCTGTATACTACCCCCCCCTAGGTTCCCCGTTAGTTAACCTTAGCCCCATTATCCCTAAATAACTGTAATTTAGGGGGGAACCTAGGGGGGGTAGTATAGAGGGGGGGGTACGAGTTGAACCCATAAGAATTTGACCAGGCATGCAAATGCACGTCTTAGCGGAGGCTCACACCTCAAGCGACAGCGAATTGGATGGGTTCCTATGCTCTATGGTAGAAGCCAGAAAGCTGAAAGGTCACTGTCCAACATTCCTGTTAACCTGGCCTAGATAACCCTTATATATGCGTATATAATATCGTAGTTTCCATTTTCTTTTTCATTATCCCTATATAACCCCTATATAAACCTATGTAGTATAGTAGTTTCCATTTTCTGCTCCGTTATCCCTATATAACCTCTACGTAACCCTGCTTCCATGTTATCAACTTTTTGGCTTTTACTTGTAAAAGCTCCCAGCGGTAGCCGGAGAAACCAAAGTGACACACTGCGCCCTTCATCGGCCTGCCGGATTTGGCAGCAGTCTGATGCCATACCCCCTTCAAGATCCACACTGAGAGCTAAGCATGGGACGGCACCCTAAGGGTCCAAGCACCCAATATTTAAGTACTTGGGATTTGGGTAATAGTACTTATAGTTCAGGTTTTGGGTAAGTATATGATTATTAGGCACTTGGACCCTCAGGGGCGGCTTCTTGAAGCTGATAAACACTATTTCATATCTCCGGATGTCCATGTCCTGTTTGGCATTCATCGGGGTTTCCCTGAACCTGGGACAGGCATGTGGGCGGCATTGGCCCAACAAAGCACACATTTGCTCCCGAAACCCTGTGGCAAGACACTTCGGCCCCTCAACGCTGCGGCTCCCTTTTGGGTAGGTTTCTTGTAACTGGGGCTGTGCTATTTATCGTGAATATCCCAGAACGAAGCTTCATATCCGCAATGAGGGCGCTGTTAAACACTTGAGACAAAGCCGTGCATCGCTTCAGCACACTGCTCTGCTCGAAGGCATTGCGCTGCAAAGCTTTGTCTTGGGCCCTCATCAAACCTGGGCCAGTGGTGGAGGAACTTTGAAAATTGCGGGTGCTTTCGAAAAAGTACTAAGTACTATCACCATTACTATCACTATCATCAACATAATAATGTTGCAGCCCCGGGACCCCCCCAAACGATTTAGGGCGTCCTGAATCATTGTTTGAGGGCCTGAGCTGGATCCTAATGGTATAAGTATTAGTAGTAAGCTGA